CACGGGGACGCCGGGCACGGAGCCGCAGGCAGGCTGGGTGGTTGGACCCCAGCTCCGAGACCAGCCCGCGGTCTGGTTACTGCTGGGGGAAGGCTGGGAGATGCCGTGCTCCAGTCTGGGCAACCATCGCAGAGCACCAACACCCTGTCAGCAAACAGTCGCACAGCACAGCGAAACCTGACGTGGACTCAGCGCTCTCTGTACAGATATACCCGCCGCCAGAAATACGTCCCTGCAAGGGTCTGCCCAGCCCAGCCAGAGGGAAAGTGGATCAAGGCCAAAGCACTTTGTAAGCAAAACCCTCTGGAACCCCCCGGGCTCTCTTTCAGGTCTTCTCCGTGAAGGTTCCCACAGGGACCCTGCCTGCAGCGATGCCGGTCCCTGCTTGCCCCAGGGACACGCGGCAGTGCCGCCTTCACAAACCGGCACAGACGGTCCCAGCTCAGAGAGGAGAAGTGCAGGAGCTAGGTCTGGCACAGATGCAGAAATCCTCCCATAACCAAACCATCCCGATACCCCCAGCCTCAGCATTTCTCAAATTTCTGATATAAACCCTCAGCGGGCAGCCAAGAGAGTAGCGACAGAAGAATCGAGGCTGGACCGTGCGTGTTGGCAGGGGCAGGGGGGGGCAAACCCCGCTCAGGGGAAGGCCCTGCCACAGCATTTCTCCTGCACAAACACACCTCACCGAAAGCTGAAGTGGCAAACCAGCATATGCTATTCACTGAAGACAGAGATACGTCTCCAAAAGCTCTTTGTTGGAAAAAGCTTTTGTTAAAAAAAGGTTAAAAACAAATAAATTATCTGTTGACATTGTCCCCCTGGGAGGGGATTCAGCAACACGGCACAGCAATGGTTTGACAGCAGGGGGAATTGCACCCAGGCACTTGCTGCTGCGACCTGCTACGGAGACCGTCACTGGGAAACCTGGCTGCAAGGACAGAGTGATGACAGTGGTTTCAATGGCCAGACTGGACCTTTCCACTGGTTTGCTTGCGTGTGAGTGTCAGGCGATGAAAACACATTTAGCGAGACCTATTTGTTAATGCCCGGCTGCCCCTTGGGGGAACAAACATCGATTGGTCATAAAATACATCTCCAGACACGTTTGGGTGACTTCCTCACTCCCCGAAGTGCTTTACTTCCGAGAAACATTGCACTAAACTCGCCCTAGCAGAGCGCTGCTATTTCTCGCTGAGTAGACTCCAGCCACCTCGTTGACTGTAACATGGCTGAAGCAAAGTCCCATTTATTCCTGCCAAAAATACCTTGAACTGAGAGACGAGGCAAGGCTGTGGGAGGTGGGACTGTAGGAGAGAAAGGAGGGAAGGATCTAATTGCTGCCCTCGGCTCCCTGACGGCTGAGGTGTAGTCAGCCTCCTCTCGGATGCACACAGTAAAAGGACAAGAAGGAACAGACACAAGACATAGCAAGGGAAAAATTATTCCCCCGGAGAGTGATCAAGCCCCGAACCAGGCACCCAGAGAGGCTGAGAAATCTCCAGCATGGGAGATGGTCAAAACTCAGCTGAACTGGTCCTGAGCCAGCTGAGCCAACTTTATAGTCCAGCTTTGAGAAGGAGTTGGAGCAGAGCCCTCCAGAGGTTCCTTCCAACTCAACTCTTCTGCAATGCTAATTTTCTTCCCCAAACCTCAGGCGGTTCAGATTGCGGCTATCAACAGCTCAGCTTCGCTCAAAGAGGTGAAGGTGGAAACGCGAGGCGGGGGGGGAGACGCAGCGCTGCCAGGCTCTGGCCCTCCCAGGGCTTAGAGCAGAGCTTCAAAACCAGATACCTTAAAGGGTATGTGTGCAATCCCTTAGGAGTATCAGTGTGCCCAGGATGGGTAGTGGTCAGAGCTTCCCCTACTTCCAGCAGAGCTGCATAAACAGGACACGATTATCTTGTAAAAAGGTTTGTTTGTGTTTTTAAAGCCACATCTCCGGTATTGCAGAGAGATCACCAGCCCATGAAATGAGATCCAAACACAGATATTTCCACGTCCTCACGCCTGCCAGCAGTTTCCAAACACAGAGGCGCTCGATGGAGAGCACGGTGCAGCATTTGGCTCTTCTGTGACTTTCTTCCCTATCACACCTTTCTCTTTCAAACCCCCCCCAACACAAGCCATACAGGCCCAGCCTGCCTCAGGAAAAGCCCAGCTCATAGGAGAAAGACTCAACCTTTCACGGCTTGCTCCAGCCGCACGATTGCTGTGTGCCAGGAGAGTTTCGGTGCCCAGGTGGCAGGCCTGGCAGCAGGGCCTGCCCTCCCCGGCGTGGCCGGGAGGCTGCCCTGGCTGCATCCCCTTCTCAGAGCAGCCCCTATCCTTCTTCAGCAGGAGCCACTTCCCCATGAGCAGCCTGCGCTGGTCCCATCCTGCCCGCAGCTCTCCAGCCGCAGGGAAGCATCCCTGTCCTGGATGCCCAGGGTCAGCCCTGAATCCCCCCTTTTGCCTCCTGGTGTGGAATAATACACGGCTGTGGAGTGGTTTCTCTTCAGATGAATTCAAATCCTTTCCTCCTGCTTTGACTGAGAACCCCTAAAAGCTTTGAGATGCTGCAATGACCAAGAGACAGAGTAAAGAGGTAAATAAAGTAGGTGAGAATAAACTTCACTGGCTTCAGACGTCTAGGGAATTCATCTGCATCCCTGTGAACATCCTGTAACGCAGCAGCTTCTTCCACCATCACCTGGTAATTTCACTCCCAACTCCCAGTGACAATCGTCGCTGCTAACTTGATAACGCTGCTTGTGTCTGCCTTTGGAGGAGACGAAGCATCTCAAACACGCTATTCATCATTTCTGAAGCAATCTTCCTGCCTTTGTCGCTTGCATACGCAGTGAAAGAGAAGTGCACAAATCTTAAGCTTAATTGCCAACTCAATTGTTGGGAAGCAGCGCACAGAGAGGAAGGAAAGCCCGGCAGTCGGGAATCCAGACACTGCAAGCAGCAGCTCCCAGGGCTCTGCCCACTGCCGGAGGAGTGTAAAACTGTTGCCATCAACTTCTCTGCCTCTCAGCAGCATCAGTTCCTTACAACAAGACTGCAGCAAAACACTTGAAATTGCAGTGAAACCCAGGGAATTGGTTTCTTTTATAAAGACCTGCGGCACCCTGGCGTGCTCTGCCACTTGGCCTTCTGGCAAGGGTCCACTAAAACGCTGTAGCTATGCGATTTTTGGAACTGTTGTCCCCTGTCCCCCCCAGATCCAATGACGTCTTGCAGCATCCCTCCTTCGTGCCATGCTCCCCCCTAGAGCCAGGGAGGGTCAGCCCTGGGATGAAGGTTTGGCTCCCTGGCCCTGGGCAGGAACCCACCAAGCCCCTGGGCGCAGGAGAGGAGAAGCCCCTCTTGCATGTTTAACCACAGCTGATCAGCGGTGGGTGGGATGAGTTTGTAAGAGTCCCCCGGTTGCAAGTATGAGTCTTTTTCTAGCCCCAGTGCATCTGGATTTGAACACTGGCACTGTTATGAGGGGTACATCAACAGTACCTGAAAGGGCGCAGAGAGGAAGCAAGCTCACTCCAAAGGCTTTGCCAGCAGTAGTGCTCAGGACGTGCCTTCAGAGACGTAGGTACCCCCAGAACAGGTCCATCTTTGATGTCCTTTTGAAGCAATGAAAGCAAGACACAAAACCAGAGCGAAGCAGTCTGATCAACACCGGGAGCAGTTCAGATTGCTTGTCAAAATGTGCCGAGACCACGCAAGCTTCAGGGATTTAGTTCCAACGCGCACACACGATGCCCATTTGCAGCTTTCCACATGTGTAAGCCCTTGCCTCACGAAGTCAGAAGGCAACAACCCACAAGATCCAAGTGTCTGCTCACCAGAGAACCAGCATCGGTGCCATCTGGAGAGTTGACACACCACACATCGGACCAAGATATGAACTCGCAGTTCCACAAGTACGCCAGGACTCTGCCTCCCAGACCTGGAGACCAAAGCATGTGCCCGGCACAGCTCGGCACCGGGGAATGACCACGGCGATGCTCCTGCCCTGCTCCCGCAATGCACACCTCCCTCCTCGGCTTCCCCAGTGGGGACCACATCTGCTCATCCTGGCTCGTTGCCGTCTTCCCCCCAGCCCACCAGTGAGATACGCCAAGATACTGAAGCTGAGGCATTAATTCCTTCCAATCTAAAGCCAAACAAGTAAAATTCACCATGAGCAGAAGCTTTCCTACACTGCTCATTTGCATTGGAAACCAGAGCTAGAAACAGCACCGAATTACGTCCTAGAAGATATACAGTACACAATCACAGGTGAGGCGATTTTTGCCAAGAAGGAAGACAGCTTGGATGGGCTGAAAGGCTGAACAGATGGGGAAAAAATGAAACAGAAAATGGAATGAACAGAACAAGACCTGAATTACTGACATACGCATCCTCATAACTAGGGGACCTGGCTTCTTCTGAAACACTGTAATTCAAGTGCAGTGTAAAGCATTTTTATCCTCCTGAAAAACAGCTCATTTCTTTCTGTACACATCAGCTGTGTGCTTGCAGAAAGAGGCTGCAGCATTTTGTATGGTAGCTTTTTTTTTTTTTTTCAGTTACAAATAAATTATTCCTCAGATGGGGGATCAAGCATCTCTTCTTCCATGCAAACATGGTGCTTACGTACAGTGCATACTGTGGCATCAGCAGTGGCAATAAGCTCCAGTCTTATACTGCACAGACGAGGCGCAATACAAGTTAACAGGGCGGTGGGGCAGCCCCACAGTCCCAGGGCGGCCATTCAGACATGCTTTTGGCATATCAAAAAACAAGAAGCACTTATAAAAAATTTAAAGGAACTAGCTTTCTTCTGCTCTGGCTCCCTGTTTCATAATACAACTTTGGAGCTGGTGTGGCTCTTTAACATAGCTAGCAGAAGGATTTGATCCACCACCCCTCCAGCCCGTGGTGGCACTAATCCTTTCCCTTTCATTTAAAAGATAAAAGGTGCTGCCTCCCCCACCCACACAGCCCCACGCACCACTGCAGTCCTGCCATACCTTTGTCCGACATCGCTCCCCAGGGATCCCATCCTCCGAGCTGGCAGCAAGGGGCTCACCCCATGGACATCTTCTGTCGTCGCCGGTGGGACGGTTTTTACGTGGGAATTGCTCTCTGAAGGGGAATTCTTCAGCTTGGCTCTCGCCATCCTGCGAGCTTTGGCTGCCTCTGTGACTTCCTCCTCTTTCCCCCCTGAACTCTCTCGTACATAGCAATCCTCACCGCATTCAGTTTAGAGCTGTCGGCACGTACCATCTCCTTCCTTCTTCTCTCTCCCCAGTCGCGGCTGCTCAGTGGAACAATCCTGCCCTGTACATTTATTTTGGTAGTGAGGGGAGTCAAGGCAAACTCTCTGGCCTTGCTGCTGCAACGCATTTGGTGCAAAACGACCGAGAAACCTTCCACAATGCAGAAATCTCTGAAATGGCTTTGTTTAGTAAATAATGCAATTGCCTTGGCTGCCTCCCTTAAAAAAACGATTGCATTGCTCTTATCACCACAAGCAGGGCAGGGGCTGAGGGATTATTTTTTCCCCATCCCTGTTTTTCAGTAGCAACGTGAGGGGGAGGAAGCTATTTTATCTTATTCCTCTGTGTAAAGAGCAGTGTGTGGACTGCATGCCAGGGAATAGACTCAGCGTACTTGGCTCGCAGACACAAAGCAGCAGAGCAAGGTCCCCTCCTAAACGCACCCACTGTGAGCTGAGCAGAGGGGAACTCGCTGCCGCTCCCCCCTGAGCTGCCAGCGGGGACGGGGGCTCAACCCCCGCTCACCTGGCCAGGCTAAAACGGCGCCCAGAGAGGTGCACAGCACCTGTCCCAGCACGACCCACCTTTCCCTCCAGGTGGGAACAAAAGTTGCTGCTCCTTGAACGTGCTTGGCATTGATTTCTCCACAAACAGAAAAGGGAATTCACTGTGGGCAGGGGTGTCCCGAGCAGGAGCTAAACCCGTGAGTCCCTCGGTGCGCAGGTGGGACTGGAAAGGGGCGGTCGTGGCCCCCGCCCTCTTCTGGGGATGCCACCAGCCCATAGCTGCTCCTGCTCCTGCTCCTGCTCGCTGCAGCCCTCGAGGCAGCGCCTGCGGGCGGGCCGCCGGGCTGCTGCGCCCCCGGGCACGGGGCTCAGCACCACGGACAGCGGCGGCCCCACCCCGATGCCGCACACCAGCACCGCCCCACGGCATGGCAACACCGCCCCACGGCATGGCAACACCGCCCCACGGCATGCCAACACCGCCCCATGGCACGACACCACCATCTCGCTGCATGCCAACACCACCCCATGGCATGGCAACACCACCTCATTACATGCCAACACCACCCCACTGCATGCCAGCATCGCCCCACTGCATGCCAACACCACCACACTGCACGCCACCACTGCACGCCAACGCTGCCCCACGGTGCATCGATGCTGCCCCATGGCGTGCCAATGCTGCTCCACTGCACGCCACTGTTGCATGGCAATGCTGCCCCGCTGTATACTTTAAATAAAGACTAAATTCACTGACTGACTAAATTCACTCAGTGAGACATCGTGACATGAAAAGCCAATGCAAATAATTAAACTCCACCACAGGATTTCTTTAAAATGAACATTATGTACAAAGACTCAACATATTGATACCTGGAAGAGTCTCCCCAAAGCCTGAGAAAGGCCAGCTGTGCAAAGGCTGTCTTTGAGGTGAGGGCAGAAGCTGGGAAATCTGGGACCCAAAGTACTTCACCTCCAGATTGAAAAGCTGACATTTTCCTCTAGCGCCAGCTGCGTGCCCTGACCACACTGCACAACTCCCTACCCCCGCGAGGCTAGCGGAGCACCCGGCACCACCAAACTCTGGGAAGAAAAGGCCAGTCCTTTTCTTCCTCTCTCTTATCACTGAACTGTCAAGCGTGAGCTCTGCTCGCTGGTCTTCCCCCTAAGGCTGGTACCTAAGGGTGACTTACCCCCATGACACACCCTGGCTGATCCGGGAAGAGAAACCGAGTCCCCATCTCCTGTTAACCAAACCCTTGTTTCCCTACTCAGAGCACGATTACTTAATGGGATTTCACCATAAGACATACTTTATTTCATAGAATCATGGAATGGTTTGGGTTGGAAGGGACCTTAAAGATCACCTGGTTCCAGCTCCCCTACCGTCCACCCGTCCACCAGACCAGGTTGCTCAAAGCCCCGTCCAACCTGGCCTTATTTCAGCATTTTAAAACATAAAATGGATAAAACCCCACAGCCTATTTCCTAATGTGCCAGCTTTCAGCACACATTTAATTTCTCCTTTTGCCTCAAAATGATTCATTAGCTCAATGCATTCATTTTCTAACAGAGTCATTCCCTTCTGCTTCATGGTTTGCTTCAGCCTCATCTTCAGCTTATTGCTCCATATCTGTTTACTTCAGGGTGTTGTTCTCAAGCCCCAGACACAATTACTGCTGTCAGCTCTCTGGACTGGACTGTGCCCAGCTCAGGGCCAGATGGATCCTCCTGGGCAACAGGAGTCACTGGGACTGGGGCAATCGGGTCTCTCCTTTAGGGAGCTATTTGCAAATTCTACACTGTACTGTATTCCCAGTTCCAGAAGAACATTAATTTCAAGATGGAGGTTTGATGTGAGAAGTGGTTTATGCTTAAATTATGATCTCAGCACTAATGCCATCGAGCAGCAGCACTGAACAGAAGAGGTATTAGGGAGACCTGGGGAATTTTAACAGAAAATAGAAACTCTCCTGTCATACTTTTGCTGTACAGAAGGTGACAAAAACCACATCAAAGAACCCTTTGAGAAACTGAGTTCCCGCCTGCAGGAGGCTCTACATGAAGATGCCTTTTCTGTTAAGCACTCAAACACAAACCGAGACACGAAAACTCGAAGAGAGGGGAGCGATGCAACGCAGGGTCACGAGAAACTGCAAACAGGGCTGCTGCGTTGAATAGCCATTTCCCTCCCAAGGGAGAAAAGAGGAGGCCTGGTGGTGAGGAGAACCTCTCCAGGGCTGGATAATCCCACAGAGCCCCTCAGACTGCTCACATCTGCCCTGGGCTGCTGAAGCAATTCCTTTGCTGCAGTTCTGTCAGAAAAATATTCCTCTCTCAGGCAATGCGATGTGTTCCACACCTCACCTAAAGACCTACAGCCCCGGCAGCGTCTCTCCTCCCAGGCCACCTCCCAGCCAGGCACCGAGCGCTGTCGTGTCAGTAAGAGCCGCCGAAGGAGGAGGAGTAAGGCCGGAACTCGGAGCAACGGCAGCCCGGCGCTGTCTGGGTCGCTGAGCCACCGGCTGGGAGACGGGAAGCCAGGGCGCTGACGAGAAAAAAGGAAAAACGAAAGCGCTCGAGTGCTGGGTTGTTGGAGGAGTACGTCGCTGTTTGTCAAAGGGTAAAGGATCACACTGAATGGATAAAGCCCTTTCCTCAAACTCAGAAAGTGAAGGGCTGTTACTTAGGAAAAGGCATTTTAATTGCAGGTCCCCTGTGCTGGGGATGCCCGTTCGTGGCTGCTATACGCTTACCCAGAACTCCAGTAATGCAACAGGTAAAACGCATCCCTCGGTGCACCCAGGATGCTCATTCTTGCTCAGAAACCGCGCGTTCCTAGAAAGAGCCATGGCTGTAAACGTAACCTGAAACACAGCTCGGTGAGGCTGCTCTGCAGGGATGCGTTGTCTGTGTTTCCACCCGTGGCATACGAGGGTAAGCTACACATCAAACACCTTGGTTGTACAGCACGTTCTCCAAGGGAACCCAGGAATGCAAATCAACAAAACACAACCTCAGTAACATCAAAGTCCCAATAAGAACTCCTCTGGTTCAGGAATATTCATCCGGCTAACTGAATGCCAACCCTCTGACCGTAAGCTAGGAAATCAATGTTAATTTTAGTTTGAAAGCCCATTACAAACTGCTGATTTCTCATTTCAACGTCTGCATTATGCAGAGACCACTGCTGTGCCGGGGCTGGAGAGATGGCTGGGAATTGCTGAGCAGAAGTTGCAGCAGTAATATGTCTGAAAATAAGATTTAGAAAGAAGCAGATTTTTCCTTAGTCTTAACTGAATCCGCAGCAACTGCATTGTTAAATATTCTCTTTTATCTAGGTAGCTGTCAGTCCCGATTGCCAAAACTCCTTTTACGCACCTATTCCACTTGTTATTAATAAAGCATGACCCAGCCCATTATAACTAGTTGATGAAACAGGAAGGGGTTGCATTTTTTTCAAATTCTTCTGGCAAACAAACCTGTTATGTTGAGATACAACCCAAAAGGGTTGGCGTGCAGAGCTTTCTGTCAGAAAAGCCAGTTTAATACCTTTAAAAATCTTGAAAAGTCACCCTGAAAGGCATCGACTACATAAAGATACTTCCAACAACCACAAAAGGTAGCTTGTGTAGGACAGCACGTTTTGCTAGAAAACGTCCGCGTTCATGACCACGTCAGCATCTCACGAGAGACTTTATCAGCCACCGCAGAGCTGCTGCTCTACAGAAGGGGCTGCGTTCATACAACTGCAGCGATAATTTGAGGGACCCTGAGCTGAAAACTCATTAAGGCTCATTATCATCTCCCTAGCAAACCCCCGGTTCTGCAGACCCACTGGTGAGCTGCTCTGGGAAAGTCACCTTTCCACTGGGGCCGGCACGGCCCCTCCGGCTGCTCCCGTTTGTGGTTGTGCTGCCTTTGCAGCGCAGTCCCGGCCTCCCTTTACTTAATAACTGACTCCAAGAAAAAGCAAGATCCCACACAATTTTTTTACCACCACAAACACTTCCTATATTTCCAGACCCTTACAAATGTAACCGCATGACGTTAACGGCTTAATAAACTTCAGAGCACTACTAATACTTCGACAAACATTACAAACCTCTCTGGCCCAGCCATTTGCTGAAGTGTTTTTCAAGAAGTGCACGCGTGCTGGCTTTGCCCTTTAGTCACCGGGAAATGCCCTACATCGTCACCGTGCACTTTGCAAAATAGCTTTTCAAAACCTGCCAATGTTTCGAGGTTGCCAAGGCTCAGGCACAGTCCTGCAAAAACAACTCCACGCCCCGCTGCGAGGCTTCTGCAACCAGGCGAGCACCACGCCGCAGAGAGCAGCACTGCTTGAGCACCAGCAGAAGCCCCCCTCTTCAGCAGAGCTGCCTGGCAATGTCAGTATTTTTGAGGCATGTAAAGATTTTTTCTTCTGTTTACTATTTGTTCTCTTTTCCACTGGGAAGTTAAAATCACAGAAGATGAAGCTCCCGCTTCCTCACTAGAATATTCTTCCCCTGACATTTGTTTCAGTTAAAATAACAAATTTGTCAAAAAGAAAAAAATGGAAAAAAAAAAAGTTGATGCTCCATCCTCTTTTTTTGCATAGGACTCGGCCCTTCCATCCCTGTGGGCTGCCAGCGCTGCACGGGAGGGCACGGACACACTCAGAGACCCCAGAGACCCCCAGCAGCCCCTCGCCTGCTCCCCTGAACAGCACACCACGCACAAGACTGGCCCAAGTAACTCTCTTCCAAACAAGACAGGTCCTTCTGCCCGTATTTTTGACTATCGATCCGTAGGTGGAGTTGCAGTTAATGAGAGGGTTGAATCCAAAGAGTTTCAGTTCCTTTTACAGTCAAAAATACGATACCAATACCTTGATTACTTCAGATCGCAGAGAGATGAGAATATGCAGGAGATGCTTGGGAGTCCTCTCTGTGTGTATTTATTAATAAAAGTGCTTAGAAAATACAGTTTGTATTGATCCGGAGGCAAATTAAAAACTCCTCTTCACTTTCTTTCCACTCGCCTGGAGAGGAAGGTCGTCTCTGGCAGATGGCCACCAGCATGGGAGCAGGACCTCAGCACTCAGCTGCTGTGGAGAGCCAGCAGATCTTCCTCGGAGATGAGTGTGCAATGAAGATCAGGGTTTCAAAGACACAGATGATCAAATCTTTCCTGAAGGGGGCTGGGGAGAAACCAGGGATGGATGGCGACTCCTCCCTGCTGTTCCCAGAGACGTGCATCCAGGTGACCTGGGGCTTCCTGGAGCCGGCTCCCCACGAGAGAGACGTGGATTCCCCGGAGCGGCCAGGGGCCCGGTGCTGCCAGGCCGCTGCTCCGCGCCAGGTCAGGGCCAGGCAAGTCCACAGCAGCACTTTGCAATTCAAAGTACTTGCAAACGTGGCCTTCATTTAAGCTCCTGTAGCGCTCAGTATCTGAAGGATCACAGCTCCTGCCTCCCCCTCTCCCGCGGGGCCTGCGAGCAGAGGCCCGCGGCAGCCGATTGCCAAAGATAATGGGAGGATTTCCCAGGACTTCGGTTTTCTTTGAGGTGAATCCATGTCTTGGCATCTCCATAAACAAAGCCAGTAATGGGCTGTAAGCAGCAGGGCAGCGACATGAGAAAGCATCTCAGCGACTCTCCCACCTGCGTTCACGGTGCACAGAGGCATTATTATTCACCATGTGCATTACTGTCACACCAAGAGGTCCCAGCCAAAACAAGCCTCTTTTCCTGGGCTCAGCACAAGAACCCAGCCCTTTTCCCCTGCAAACCTGCAGTCTGAAGAGGGCCGAGATGCAAGAGGGAGATGTAGAGCAGGACAGAGAAGGAGGAAAAATAGCCCAACCCTTAGTGACTTTGCAGGAGCTTGTTCAGAGGTTATGGCCTCTTTGAGCCCTCCAGCTAAGAAACTAGAAACAGCAATTATTTCAGTGTGCTTTCTCCAGGCACTACGCGGAGCACACCACGAGCCAGGGGACGTTCAGGAGCTGGGAGAGTCTTCCCAAGCAACGGGGCTTTGAGTGGCTGGAGAGGCGAAGTGCAGCGGGAGCAATTCACACTGGGACTAGGGAACGGCAGCTCTCTGACGCCTGCTCGCCAAGATCTAGGGCACCAGCAAGCAAACGCTGTGCCCTGTCTTGCATTTATTTTCACTGGTTTCTGTTCCCTCCGCGCGCTGCCTTGGCAGGGTTAATGCCTCTGCACCACAGGCACTGACGAGTTCCCCGAGAAGCCGTCAGATGGATCTACACCACTGTGAGTTCTCCTTTGTATCTGGGACTCTAGTTGATTAATTCCACTTGTTATAATTATTCTCACAAATAAAATCTAGCTATTTCCCCCCTGTGAACACGGGGGATAATGGTCCTTACCCTTCTCAGCAAAGCGTTTCAGTTCCAGGGGCGAGAAGCTCTGTACCAAGCGTTAAGTGTTATTATTAAACTGTCATTAAAAGCATTTCAGGAAAAGTTCACAAACTGCAGGGATTTCTGTCATCACAGCAGCTGGCTGGGATGGCAACTGGGCTGAGCGGTTTCTGCCAAACCCACAACTGTACCGAAGTCCCCGTCTCCATTCCGGAGTCCCCACTGGAGCACGTTTACTGCAGGCAATGCCACCGCTGCAGCCACGTCCACCTTAGGAAGGGTGTCACCCCCGAGGGTCTCCCTGCTGCAGCACCCGCCCTCTGGGGCCACGCTGGGCTTGGGGGGCAGCTCCATCCCCCAGGGCCCTTCTGGAGGGTGCTCGGCACCGAGGCAAACCAAAGAAACCCAACAGGAGAGAGCCTGGAACAGGGGAACACCCAAATTCGCCAACACCATCACACAGCTGCGGAAATCTTTGGCCAACCGGTGCCGCACCAGACACCAGGCACTTGAAGGCGCCTGAAAGATTTGCATGACACAGGCAGAAATTAACTGGCTGCGTTTTATTCCCTCACTTCCCCTATTTAGTCTTGGCAGCTGAATCAGGCAACGGCACCTGGCAGCAGCTCACTGCCTCACCCAGCGTCTCTTCAGCGGAGTTTGGGAGGCTTCTCTAATAAACCGGAGCACTGGAGTTTCAGGGAAGAAGGAACATTTTAGAAAACATGGAGGAGAGCATATTTAGCAGCAGCAAGAGAGCTGGAAACAGAAGGAAGCCTTTGAAGAGCTGGGCTGATGGAGAGAGATGGAAAAATTATGTAAAGTAAGAGAATACATACAGAGCTTGCAGGCAGGCTGCAAGCCTGGAGGGGGACGGTGTGTCTGAGAGTAGAAGAGCCTTTGATTTCTCTCCTGCTCCCCAGTTCTCTGCATTAACATTTCAAATGTTAACAATTTCAAAATGTTAGCATTTAGAAGAGGGGGGAGCACCTCCTTTACAGACCCAGGACTTCCGAACCTGCCCAGTAACAGGCAGCCGTGCCCTGCAGCTTCCCTCCCACCCGGTGCACCCAGCGGTGCCCATGCCAGCCCCAGCACCCCGCTGCTCCGACTGCCAGGGGGGCTCGGCCAGACCCCCCACGGCTACACCCTGGCCCCCGCAGATGGATGTAGGGGACTCGCAAACAGTTCCCCTCTCGGCTAGCCCGGCAGAGGGACGGCAGGTCCCCTTCGCCAAGTAACTCCCCAACTACCCGGAGAGCTGGCGAGAGCCATTATATAACTGCGACGCAAGAGCCTCGCGCACTGAATCCCAGAACTGTCATCGCAGCCTTTGCAAACCCATTTTTACCTCTCTAAGTGTGGCTCATCAGCGACGAACATGAAAGCTGCAAACCCAGTATGTTAACTTGGGACTGCTTAGCAGGGAGAAGAAATAGAGCAGACCCGAGCAGATGCTGAAGAAATATCCCTACAAAGCCACGGGACCTCCGACAACAGTTTCCTATTTCTATGGTGCATTTTACATGCATACAGGCAGAGCAATGAGACCCTGAAGCTTTACAGTGGCTCGTAATCTCTTCCCACTTCTTAACAAAGCTGACGACAGGTTAAAATGGCTGGAGGAAAAAGGGAAGGTATCTATATACCTGTCTCTATACTTGTCACAGCTGCTCAAGTCAGCAAGGAAATTAAAAGCCCTTGGGTATAATCTAAATATATATCTGCAAGGGAAGCATGAAAAGTCTCCAGGCAGAGCACAGTAATCAGGCACGGCCGAGTCACTTTTCCAGGTGAGTACACAACAGGGTCACTATCCGCCTCCCAAGATTTAATGAGAGCGGTGCCAGGGTCCTCACCCAGGCAGAGCTGGCAGCCTGCGCCGGCAGGGACGGGCAGCGCTTTCCAGAGCATGAGTCAGCCCCGGCTCTGCACGGGGAGGCAGAGCAATGCGGTGAGCAGCAAGGAAGGCAGCGATGCTCAGAGACGGTGGCAGGGCAGGACCCAAACCCAGCCGGGAGGAGCCGGGGGCTCCTGGGCTCCCCCAGGCACAGGGCTCGGGGCCGGCACAGCTGGGTGCCAGGGATGGGCAGGCTGGGTGACGGCCCTCAACTGCCATTAGCTGCAATTTATTGCCTCCCAGCTGCAACAGTCTTTGCACTATAAATGTTTATTACTCCAAGCGTCTGTGCAGTACTTTTCCCCCATGAATCTGAAAACACCTTGTAAACATCCCTTGGTACCGCTCGTGATACCCGCAGGAGGAGCGGGGCAGGAGAGGTCCCCACGCCCATGCGGTCAGTCAGGAGGAGGCAGTAAACCCACGTCGCGTAGCGTAAGTACCGTGGCAATCCTCTAACTTCCCGCCAGCCTTTCCGAGGGCCGAGCCCGTGGCTCCCCTCCGAGGCCAGGACCTTCCCCTTGTGGGTGAAGGTGGCTGAGCCAAGACCTGGAGAAAGCAGAGGGATGCTCTGAGCATCCCCGGCCAGCAGCTAAGGGCAGGGCGGCCAACAGCAGCGCGCTCACCCCCGGCTCCTGCCGCACATCGTCCGATAACGCTCTGCTCCGGGGGACACCCTGCTCCCCTGGGACTCGCTCCAGCTTTTCCCAGGGGATGCAGCAGGCAACACGAGCTGAAAAGGTGCCTTGTGCCTCCCCACACAGCCTCTCGCCGGCCCTTCAAGCACTCGCTATTTCCAGTCCGGCATCAAAGAGCCTTCAGGAGCCGGTGACGCTCCGGACGGAGACACACTACGGCGTTTAATGAGCCGGGAGCCTGTGCTCAGCTCGTTCGCTGCTGCAAAACACCTCTCAGAGCTCCCCGGCAGAGCTCGCCAGGAAGCAATTTCACAGAGACTTTTGAAATGCCAACGTGATTCCTACTTTGCAGTTTTAAAGGACTCCGAGCCTTTTTTGCATGACATTTTTGTGGCAACTTTGTTCCTAAAGTATTAAAATTCTAATGAAATGCTCTGCTAAACTGCAGAACAGTGTTTACTTATTAAATGACTCTAAGAGTTTCTGCTTAAAATGTGGAGAATTTTAGCATCTAAAAACCTTCTTAAAACTTTTATTCTTGGATGGGGGTTTTTTGTTTGTTTTTTAAAAAGATGAATCTTCAAAGGAGAAACTTAGGCTTTGGGACTCTCCAGCAGCTCTGCCAACTGTGTCCCACAGCAATAAAATTTTCTTCCCTCTCCAGGGTCGCTGGATTACGCTGGGTCCCATTTGCCATACACTTCCCATTTCTGACACCACTCCTTTTGTAATACGTTATGTAAGATAGAGAAAACGGCACGTCTGTATAAAGAGAAACCACAATGCGCTGCAGAAGTGAGGCAGGAACTCCATGGAGTCTGTGACAGCCTCATCGTGACGTGTGGGAAGGACTAGAACAAGGGGCTGTACCAGACCATTGATCTTCAAGTACGTTTCTTATTTTAACTTCAATGAGAAAAAATTTGCTTACCGATCACTAGTGGGCTGTAGCTGAAAGTTCTGCCCTGCAGTGGGAGTCCCTGCCAGCCAGGTGATGTGCAATGCCCAAGTCAAAGCTCACGCTGCGCCCAGATGCCGTCGGGGATCTGACAAACAGGGTCCCTCTACTTCCACATTCAGTCAAAAGCAGGGCACGGCATCAAGACGTTAAAAGGGAAAGAAAGGTTTCTTGCGTACTGCTCAGGCCATGCAAACCGCCACCACAAACAGGCACCGTGTTCCTAAAAGCCTTAACACAGCATTTACGCAATGGCGAAGGCCCTTTACAATGTTGGGTATCGACACACTTTGTGTACTCAGACGTAAATGAGTGAAGCGTGCAGATGACAGCGTTAACCACCACGTCCCTCACGCAAGAGGCCCCAGGGGCCTCTTCTGCACAAAATACCCTGAAATTCTCCCCGAAGGAGATGAGCGCTGCTGTACGCATGCAAACTCTGCGCTGCCTTCTGCTGAGCATGCCCCGTCAAGAGCCAAAG